AAAAAAAAAAAAAAAAAGGAAAAAAAGAAAATATATTTAAAAATAACTCCACCTCCTGAAGAATATACATAGGTATTAATAGTACTCTTCTTTCATTATTTCTGTGTATAAAAATTGGAGGACAAAACATCAAATTGGAAATCTAGCCCTTCCACCTCCCATCAGTCCCCCAAAATCCCCATTTCCAATTTACATGACACCTTTTCTCCTCTGGAGCATAAAACTGCCTCCTTTAAGTGGAGGTTTCCAAATGTCTGGAATACACATGAAGAAGGATATATACACTCCTTGAATAGGCCACTTTCTGCCACTCTCCCTAACAATGTGCTGCTTCTACCCACAAACCACTAATAATGTGTTTAGTTGCCAGTATTAGGATCTTAGTTTGAGGAAACGACATCTATTGGGTCCTCAAAGAGCAAAAAGAAAATCCCAAAAAGTTTGATAGAGTTAGAAATCTTAGCTGTACCCATCCTTCTAGTCTTCAAGCCGAAGATGAGAAATCAGGTAAAGCCTCACATTTCTAGTGGTTCTGGAAACCTTTCGGTCTCCTGCTTATGTTTGTCTTTTCCTCTATCTGAATTACTTTGGTACAGAACAATAGAGGATGAGATGAAGGGGGTGGGGAATGCCAAGAGCAGCAAAATTCTACAAACCAGTGGTCTTCCTAAAGCTTGTATGCCTAAAACAAATCTGGTAATACAAAAGAACCCAAACCAGTTTCAAGCAGCAGCTTCATTATATTTGTCAACCTTTGGGGCTAATTCCATATACCTACACGTCTGGAAAAAGCTCCCAAACTTTTAGAATTGTCAAATATACGCTTGTAGTCTGCAGCATTAAATCTAGATTATAAATTATCAATATCACTTAACTGAATTACACCAAGGAATGGCAAATCTAGATTTCATTAAGAGATACTGTTAAAATCACATTCAGACCTCAGGAGGGCAAGACCCCATAACTCAGTCACACACACAGCTTCAAATGCTTCCTCAACTTTTCAAGCTTTGGGACGCCAAGTCACTGGGAGTTAGCAGCTAAAACATGGGGTTCAATGCAAACTGACCAAAGGAAGTGAAGAAAACAAAGCATATATTAATTTCAGCACCAAGAATACGGATTTGGGAATTACATCTACCGTAGTAAACATATCAAACATCTACTGCTAGTAAACTGATCATTCTTTACAACCTAAGTACGCCAGGTATTTTTTTTTAATGTTTAAATGGCTAGCCACAAATTGTCCTAGTCGAAACTGATGGCAAAATCCTAAGCTGGTCTTCGGCGAGAAGACACTCTGCATGGAGCATCACACAAAAGACAGGAAAGAACAGACACGCTCTCGGCCTCGGCAGATTGCGGCCAGGAGCCCAGGTCTTCGTCCCAGACCCCGGCAACAGGGAGGAAAATAAAAGCGGGGAGGAAAGGGGTGGGAGTGGGGTCCTGTTCCCTGAATGCGCCTGGGACTGAGGAACGAAGAGGGAAGGAGCGAGTGCAGCACGGAGCAAGCGAGGAAAGCAGCAGACCGGCGTCAGCGGCTACCAAGGCCGGCAACACCTCGAACCCGCACCAGGCCCGACTCTCCTGGCCCCACCTCCTCACCTCCCTCACATCCTGCAGGCACTCGAGCACCGCCAAGTTGTTGCTCCAGGTGTGCTTGGGGCACACGCGGGTGACGTCCTCCCTGCAAGACTCTTCTTCCGCCAGCTTCCAGCCCCCGCCAGCTCCCGCTCCACCCCGCCGGGCCGGAGGCCCACCCGCCGGGAAAGGCGGCTGCGGCGGCTGAGGCTGCTGCTGTTGTTGCTGTTGCTGTTGCTGTTGCTGCTGCTGCTGCTGCTGCTGCTGTTGCTGTTGCTGTTGCTGTTGCTGCTGCTGCTGCTGCTGCTGGAGCTGCGATGACTGAGGCAGCTGGGGCAGCTGCTGACCCGCCGGGCCGCCGCCTCCAGCCTGCCCTACGAAGGACACGAAGTTGGCTCCGGGGCCCTGGCCCTGGCTGTGGACGCCCTGGCCCAGGAGTTTCTCGGCCCCGGCCGCGGCGAGCAGCAGCAACTGCAGCATCGCCGACAAGCGGAACATCCTCGGTACACGTCCACACGCCGCCATCTTGGGTCCCCGGCGAGCTCGACGCACTCTCCGGCGCCGCGTATTTAAATGAGGGGCGGAGCCGCTGGGCGTGGTGGCGTGGCCCGCTGAGCCCCGCCCTCCCCGCGCCGACCCGCGAGCCCAGAGCCGGGAGAAGGGAGGCAGGGCTGGGAACTGCACACGCCCTGGACCAGCGGGCGGGAGAGCGGGGCTCCTTACCCGGGGGTTGCTGGGGTTTCTTAAAAAGCCCGGGCAGGGCAGCCTTGTCTAATTCCTTTTGTTGTCGTCACAGAAAAAAAAAAATCAAGGGAATTGGGATTGCCACAACCAAAATGGCCGTTAGAATATGTTGCCGGTTCAATGACTTGGAAAACAAAAACTTTCTATGTAAAGGTGAACTTTGCACGACTAGGTGTGTTCCGGAATCGGAAAGCCTCTCCTTGCATCGCTCCCTCCTTCCTTCTTTCCACCTGCCTCAAAAGTCTTTCTTAGCCAAAGAGAGAGACAGTATTGAATAGGGTTAAGAGCATAGGTTCTTGGGAAAGAAAATAAATTGAGGTTGTAATCCTTGCTCTTTGGGAGAGTAGGCAAGAGCTCAAATGTAAAGCATCATTGACAAGATTCGAAATAATAATAAGGGAAGTGCCTGGCTCACAATATAGAAATCAAAAAGTCACAGCCAGTATTGTTAATAAACTGGGAAGCTCTTGGTGCATGAATCCTGATTTTAAGCCAGCATTTAGATTCATGTTTAAGGTATGAAAAAATAATAATGAAACACATCTGTGAGGACTCGAGTTAAGTCAGTGTGTCGGTAACGTTATTGACCTGCATGCAACATCGCAGGCACCCCACACTAGCGTCCCCTCCCTGTCCTTAGGAGAGAGGATATGTTCCCAAAGCCTCTTCACATCCGCTGTGTAATCTGAGCCATGCATCAGGCCTGCGTTTAGGTTCTTATTTAACTGAAGAATGGCACAGAGATGTTAACAGTTCTGCAAGGAGGGATTAAATGAGCTGGCCAGGACGAACTCTGCCAGCCTGTAGACAGCTAGGCTGGTCACTAGAATCCCTGGGTCTTCCCACCACCCTGATGCACTTTTATCCCACTCTGTCTATGCACATGTTGGGGAATGAGGGCGTTTGGGATGTGTAATCTCCACTGGTCATTGTGTCCAAAAATGCAGCTTCTGCTGTCCTGATCCACAAATGAACAGTCAAGACCAGATTAGACATATACAGAACCTGAGAAGTCAGGAACTCAGGGAACCCAAAAGGAGACTCTGAGAGTGAAGATGTTCTGTGAATACAAATTGCCCACTGTGGTTGACCCTGGGCCTCTATCAGGGGGAATGAGAGCTTGTTGGCATCTCCACCAACAGTTACCCTTGCTACTGCCATAAAATGATCGTGAGGCTGCTGCTAACCTTGAGCACTGACTAAGGCAGCCCCATGTTCATTAGCAAACACATGGCATAGATAAATTTCAGTCAAGCAGGCTGGAGACATCACCAGAAGTCCTTGAGGTATCATTAGGGTATATTAATTTTTTTTTTTTTTTTTGAGATGGAGTCTCACTCCGTCACCCAGGCTAGAGTAGTGCAGTGGCACGATCTTGGCTCACTGCACCCTCCACCTCCCAGGATCCAGCAGTTCTCCTGCCTCAGCCTCCCAAGTAGCTGGGATGTCCCACCATACCTGGCTAATTTTTGTATTTTCAGTAGAGATGGGGGTTTCACCATGTTGGCCAGGCTGGTCTCGAACCCCAAACCTCAGGTGATCTGCCCGCCTCAGCCTCCCAAAGTGCTGGGATTACAGGCATGAGCCACTACACCTGGACTCCATTAATTTTCAGTGGTGGGTCTGCATCTGTTTAGACAAGTGGGAGATTATTTTAAGCCAGTTTAACTAAAAATTGACAATCTCAGGCCAGCAGTTGCTTATCTTTCAGCCTGAACTGAGGAAACCCAATAGCAGCCACAGATTGCCTCCATAGATATGGAGTACATGTCTATCTTGAAATCTCAGTGACCAAGAAGCAAGAAACTGAGATAAATCTGGGAACCTGGCCAGCTTGGACTGGGTCAGGCAAGTGTAGACCTTACAGAAGCCACGAGCTCCCAGACCAATGGAGACAGTTGCCCTGTCGCAGGTGTCCTGAAATCATTGGCTTTTCAATATAAAATATACTATCTCTAGGCTGGGCGCAGTGGCTCACACCTATAATCCCAGCACTTTGGGAGGCTGAGGCGGGTGGATCACGAGGTCAAGAGATCGAGACCATCCTGGTCAACATGGTAAAACCCTGTCTCTACTAAAAATACAAAAATTAGCTGGGCATGGTGGCGCACGCCTGTAGTCCTAGCTACTCAGGAGGCTGAGGCAGGAGAATTGCCTGAACCCAGGAAGCGGAGGTTGCGGTGAGCCGAGATCACGACATTGCACTCCAGCCTGGGTAACAAGAGTGAAACTCCGTCTCAAAAAAAAAAAAAAAAAAAATTTATATATATATATATATATATATATGTATATATATATATACACACATATATATATATACATATACACACACACACACGCACAGTATCTCTATCAGAAACAGGGAATTCTTTTTACCCTTTATCGTACCCTTTGTTTCCTGATCGTCACTTTCTTATTCATCCAGTAGGCATCTGTTAAGCATTTTCTTTCTTTCTTTTTTTTTTTTTTTTAGACGGAGCCTCACCCAGGCTGGAGTGCAGTGGTGTGATCTTAGCTTATTGCAACCTCCGACTCCTAGGTTCAAGTGATTTAATTATCCTGCCTCAGCCTCCCAAGTAGGTGGGATTACAGGTGTGCACCACTACACCCCGCTAATTTTTTTATTTTTAGTAGAGATGGGGTTTCACCATGTTGTCCATGCTGGTCTCGAACTCCTGACCTCAAGTGATCCACCCACCTCAGCCTCCCAAAGTGTTGGGATTACAGGCATGAGCCACCGCACTCAGCCATGAGCATTATTTGTTTGTTTTGAGACGGGGTCTCCCTCTGTTGCCCAGGGTAGAGTGCAGTGGCATGATGATCATGGCTGACTGCAGCCTCAACCTCCTGGGCTCAAGTAGTCTTCCCGTTTCAGCCTCCTCAGTAGCTGGGACTACCAGTGTGTGCCACCATGCCCAGCTAATTATAATTTTTTTTGTAATTTTGGTATTTTGTTTTTTGAGACAGACTCTTGCTCTGTCACCCAGACTAGAGTGCAATGTCATGATCATGGCTCACTGCATCCTCAGCCTCTGGAGCTCAAGTGAACCTCCCACCTTGGCCTCCCAAAGTCCTGGGATTACAGGTGTGAGCCCTGCACCCAGCCTGTTGAGCTTTCTTTCTTTTTTTTTTTTCTGAGACAGAGTTTCCCTCACTGCCCAGGTTGGAGTGCAATGGCGCTATCTCGGCTCACCGTAACTTCTGCCTCCCAGGTTCAAGCTATTCTTCTGCCTCAGCCTCCTAAGTACCTGGGGTTACAGGCATGTGCCACTACAACCGGCTAATTTTGTATTTTTAGTAGAGACAGGGTTTCTCCATATTGGTCAGGCTGGTCTCGAACTCCCGACCTCAGGTGATCTGACCACCTCAGCCTCCCAATGTGCTGGGATTACAGGCATGAGCCATTGCACCCGGCCTGCATTTTGTTGTTTAATGTGCCAGGCATTGCTCAAGAACTAGATTATTTTGTGAACATTAGTATTAGGCAATAAACAAATGGATTATACGAGAAACAAACAGTAAACACAGAGCAAGATAATTTCAGATAGTATAAATGCTATGAAAAAAATAACAATAAAAAACATGGTGTGACTGGGGAGGAGAGAGGCTTTAGATAAAGGCAGCTGGGGAAAGGCTCTCAGGGTTATAACTGAGCTATCACTCAGACAGCTTTTCCCTATCTTTTATCTCTTTATCTTTTCCCTATATCTTTTTTTTTTTTTGAGAGAGTCTTGCTCTGTCACCCAGACTGGAGTGCAGTGGTGTGATCTTGGCTTTGCAACCTCTGCCTCCTGGGGTCAAGTGATTCTCTTGACTCGGCCTCCTAAGTAACTGGGATTACAGGTGCCTGCCACCACACCCAGCTAATTTTGGTATTTTTAGCAGAGATGGGTTTCACCATTTTGGACAGGCTAATCTCGAACTCCTGACCTCAGGTGATCCATCCCCCTTGGCCTCCCCAAGTGCTGGGATTACAGGCGTGAGCCACTGCACCTGGCTTTTTCCCTGTGTCTTTATGCCAGTTGGCATAAAGATGGCAACCATGGAAAGAGGAATCTAAAGGCGTTCCAAAATCAGACGTTAATAACTAGTTTAACATTCTAAGGAGGTGGGAATAAGCATTCAAAATGAAGGCCTGCTAGGCACGGTGGCTCACACCTGTAATCCCAGTACTTTGGGAAGCCAAGGCAGGTGAATCACCTGAGGTCAGGAGTTCAAGACCAGCCTGGCCAACATGATGAAACTCCGTCTCTACTAAAAATACAAAAATTAGCCAGGCACGGTGCTACAGCCTATAGTCCCAGTTACTCAGGAGGCTGAGGTGGGAGGATCATTTGAAAGCGGCAGGTGGAGGTTGCAGTGAGCTGAGATCGTGCCACGGCACTCCAGCCTGGGTGACAG